AGGTAAACGCTACATCAACATGAATGCCGAAAGTAGTTCCCAATGTTACGCCGTCCTTAAGACGAATGAAGGTTAGTGCAACCTTTGGAAGAAGAAATGAGAAGACTCTTCATGAGAGAATGCGAATAACAAAGGCTCGTGAAGCTGATTACGATAAATCCTTGGACACGACTTGGTTACCGACAGTAAGTCAACGAGCATACAGTTGTACAATGACTGATATACCCGCGATAACGAGGAGAGCAACGACCAATGCTGCCCAGAACACGATGTACCGCCACCGTCTCGGTGACGCAGACCTATCAAATTGCGATAGGAAGGCGAAGCGAGGCCCTCGTCTTTGGGAATGGAAGTTCTCATCGTCAACTTCTTGCATCACTGGGCTTTTGGAAGCAACTCCAACTGGTGGCGGTACCGAGGAGGTCTTCGCTGGCTGCTCCTTCGTCGGCTCTGGGACCATTTCGGAAGGGGAACAACAGAACTACTACCACTCGCTGGCCCTCCGTCGAACTCTGATACAAGCCCTATATCAATCATGTTGAAACGTGCATGAATTCAACAACAAACCTAGTCGCCAGAAAGGGGGTAGTCACTTTCAGCTTAAGAGTTGATCGGACTTGAGCATCCCTCATCAGCCTGAGAAGAGATTACAGCATTCGACTTCAGCCACGCCGGGGTATCAGTCGCAGAGTCCAACCGGGACGCCGACGGCGGCCTCATGCGCCTTTTGAAATTGTCGCGGGCCCCATCCGCATACGTTGTTTTCAATTCTACATGGGATGCAATCTCACTTAGGCGGAGCGGATCAACAATACACCGTGTGGTAGCATTGCTACCATAGCGACTCTCATGAAACCTTTCCTTGGGGACCTTAGCTTTGCTCGCGCCAACCGCTTTAGCAGCAGTCACCTCCCCTTCGGCCAGTCTCTTACCCGCTGTAACCGTTCACTTTTGGCATGAATATCGATGGCAACGGCTGAGCGAGATCCTCATCTGTGATTCATAAGAGTCCATCAGCCGCCGTACTACAACATCTTCTCCCCGCCTTCTCCTTCCTTCTGCTCCCCCTCTCTCGTCAACTCCTACCGGGTACTAATCTCCTCGTCGTCATTTTTCGACCCTAGCCACCCTAACCTCGGCCGCTTCTCTTGCCACCACTGTGGCAAGAGACTGACTACAACCACACTATTTCGACTGATACAAACAAAACACTACGAAGTCCACCATCGCCTCCCAAAGGCCTTTTCAGCCGCCGTTTGCCCCTTCTCCTCCTCATCATCGTCTTCGGGAGATTTTGTCGACTCAGGAACCGCATTCGTATCCGCTTAAGGGGACAGACCCATCTGGAATTTTAGGGAAGCAATATGTTGTCCAAGATCTTATCAAGTACTTCCAATTTTCAGCTGTGACGCGCCAAACGAGCTCTCGAAAACGTGCTTCGCTCCGCTCAAATTTGCCTGCACGTTCATCATTTTCATTCTCAAGTCTACTTTCGCTGACGGGACAACGAAACAGCGGAAGAACAGTATCATCCCCAAGAGGGAATGTAATCACTTCCTAGTACACTTTAAGTAACTGATGCTCCACTACTATTACGTTGTAGTGCCTTCTGTGGCTGAAATGACCCTCCACGGTGCATTCGATCTCATCTGCATTGTATCATTTCTATCCCTTCGTAGAGCTCAGAAGGGGGATCGGGCAGGATCTGGTACTTCCATCGAAGTCAGTATATATCCTATGGCCCAGCGATAAGGTACGATCGGGGAAGCTCGCGGCCCACGCACCGCACTCTGTGGAAGAGCGACATTCTTCCCCCTCTCTGAACGTCGTATCGATAGCGGAAAGCAGCACACAATCCTCTTAGTGGACGAGAAAAAGACCAAGTTGACCGCAACGGGCTGGGGTCGCCCAAGGTAACTCAGTGTAAGGAATGACCCTTATCGTGTGCTCTTGCATCGAATCCATTTGATCGATATGTAACGGCACATGAGATGTGTAGAGGCCCGGACCTTAGTCCACACACTACTCAGGATTTACTTCAAACTCCGGCGTGAGGCAGCCTATCAATCGCTCAGATTAATGCCACCCACACGCCGAGTACGCGAAACAAGGGTTATCGCTTCAAATACACTACTAAACTCAACATTGACGAGTTTAATCATAACATGGTCAAAGCCAGCAACACGTTGTTAGAAGAACTGATAAATCTCATACATCATAATACATCTGCCGATTCACGATTTCATTCAGGGGCATGTAGAATTTATTTAATTTTGACACCTCAGAAATCGCCGGACAACTCACTGACATCAGAGGCCTCTCGGAACCATTCGTGGAAGTGCCAACCTCCGTACGACCTAAGGGAATACCAAATTGTCTCTTTTCGATGGGAGAAGACGGCGAAAGCGATCTCAACACATTCTAGGGAAATCTCGCACTAGATGTGAAAGTGTACTCACTTCATCACGCTGAGCACGACCAAGTACACAATAATTGCAGAAAAAATGAGGAAGATCCCAACAACTCCTATAATGAACATTGTAAAGAAGTAGTTGTAGCCGTAGATCGTAAAGAAGTCGCCAACGCCTGAAACGACTTCAGTTCAATCACCATCAATAGCACACTCTTACTCGCCAAACAGCCACAGGCAGCAGCCACGATATCCGCATCGAATATACCGAGCTGAGCGGCAACAGCATCGCACTGGACGCAATGGGTTGAAGGCTCAGGGAGGAGCCCGTCGTTAGCAGCAAAGATACTTCGAGGTCCGCACAGTTGTCCGAGAACACCGTCGAAGGTACCCGTAGCGTTGGGCCGATCCAGGGCTAGCGCTGGGCATGCAACCTAGAGAATACCCTAATGCTGAACATAGGGACCGCAGGAGGGTACCAGCTGCCCTGT